CACCACTGGGAGAGTTCCAAGGGAGGTGAGATAAAGGCAAACCCTCTGAGCCAGTCCTACAGGGAGCCACCAGACAGGTCAAAACAAACTATCACAACTTTTTGAGAATAAAGTTTGTTCTGCTCCCCCTGGTACTAGTACCTGCACCAGGAATGTGGGCTGTTGTTCAAGATCACCACCGATTTGGGGAGTGGGACAGAACCAGGATCAGTTATAATGCCACAAATCTCTTACTGAGATTCAGCTGATTTTTCTTGATTAAGCAGTCCCCTAAGTTTTGCAATATTTGGTCAGTTTCCTGACTTCAGAAAAACTTGATTCTTACAGTTTTTGCCAGGTAACTTGTTACTTTTGTGGAGAGTCACAATTTTGGACTCACATTTTTGATGTCGCCCTTCTACCCGATTTTAAGATATTGTCTAGCTACAGTATTTGAGACCATGTGATACTGGAAGAGGGACAGACACCTAGATCAGTGGAACTGAACAAAGAACCCAAAAGGAGACCTACAGAAATAGTCATCTACAAAGCTGCAAAAGCAAGTCAGTGGAGGAAAGACAGTCTTTTCCACAAACAGTGCTGGGCCAGCTGGAAGTCACGTGTTAAAGAAATAAAAGAACACACACATGGTACATGTTTCACAAAAACGAACTCAGAATGGGTTATAGACCTAAATGTAAGAGGCAAAACTACACAACTCCTAGAAGATAACACAGGAGAAGCCCTAGGTGATCTTGGTAATAACATTTTGGATACAAGCCCAAAAGTATGACCCATGAAAGAAAAAATTGGTAAGCTGACTTTATTAAAATTAAAATCTTCTCTGTGAAAGACACTATTATGAGAATTAAAAGACAAGCCACACACTGGGAGAAAATATCTGATAACAACTCATATCTGATAAAGAACTGGTATCCAAAATATACAAAGAATTAAAACTCAACAGTAAAATTCCCACTCCTCTATTAAAAATTGGGCAAAAGATCTGGACAGGCACGTTTTCCAAGAAGACATGCAGATTGCAGATAATCATACGAAAAGAGGCTACACATCAAATGTCATCAGAGAAATGCAAATTAAAACAACGAGACACACACCTGTTAGAATGGCCAAAATCCCAGACACTGACAACACCAAACTCTGATGAGGGCGTGGATCAGCAGGAGCTCTCGGGCACCGCTCACAGGGACGCAGAGGGCACAGGCACCGTGGAAGACCGCTTGGCAGTTTCACACGAAACTAAAGATACTCTTACCAAACAATCCAGCAACTACGCTGCTTTCTGTCTACGCACAGGAGGTGAAAAGTTATGCCCACCCTGAAACGTGCACATAAATGTTCACAGCAGCATGATTTGTAGTTGCCCAAACTGGGAATATTTAAACGTCCTTCAACAGGTGGTTAAATTGGTACATCCAGGCCATGAAATCCTCAGCAGCACAAAGGAATTAAGTCTT